GGCTGCCTCGAGAATTGTTAAACGCGCAGCTAGTGCTTTGATCCACGTGATAAGCTCCTGAATTACAGCGAGAAGGTGATCCATGTTTGGGCATACGTGTTTACCTGTATCTTGTTCTTCTTGCTGATCTTGTGCAGGTTGTAAAGCCTCGTTGTGTAAAGCCACCGACCATTGGAGCAAGTTGGCGATTGGGATGCCTGCAGCTTCTAAGCACCCCTCCATGCGTGCAACGATAGGAGCCGTAGGCGCCAGGTCCTTCAACTGCGGGTAGGACCGAATCAGGTACGCTGTAAGAACGCTAAGTATCTTTGTATTGACGTTTAGTCGTTGTTCTTTGAGACCAGACCAGGAGCTGAACATGAAACGCTGCAAGCAACCTAGGCGCTCCTGGCTAGCATGATCGAGCGCTGCCACATCTATGGTTGTCGGCTTCTCGTCAGCCCCCCAAGCCGCTCAAGGCCCTGGCGACCTTTCTGTCCTCCCGCGCTGTACTAGTGATGTAGGCGAAGGCCTTGTTCATCTTCGTCATATCCCAGGCACCGCGATCGAAAATCCGCTGTGCAGCAAGATGGTCGTCTCCATTCGCGTGCTGCGCTCCTCCACGCCGGAATGAATGCGATGTCAAGGCAGAGGTGGAGCCTGCAGGCTCGGCGACACGCTTCAACAGCCGGTTCACGTACGCTTGTACGCCATCTTCGCCTCTCTTCGTATCTCTGGAGCGCGTTGTGGAATCAGTTGGAGGGGCAAGCGAACCAGGAGGTGACGACCGTGCAGTGTCAACGGGGATGCTAGGAGAAGGCGTCGGAACAACACTGACTGGCAGCGGTGTTGGCTCGGCATCCAGCAACGTTTGAAGTGGCTCCCCCGTATCCAGCGGCACGTCTTCTTCGGGGACAAGGTCAGGTAGCTGGTCCAGCAGCGCCACGCCTGGTGCTTCCTGCGTCGCCAAGGCAACCGCTTTTGCATGCAGCGGGCACGTCAAGAAATCTTTTTTGTCTGGAATCAAGGTAATCCCCTGCTCCTCCGATGTTTTGACGCGAAGAAGGCGAAGGTAGAAGGTTCCGTCCGCTTACACGGACACGTGTTGCTTCTGTATGTAGCCTAGGTCCGATGAACGGCCAAAACAGTGCCACATCAAGCAAACTAGTGCTGCATCTTGGTAGTCGGCATGTACAGGAGTCGTGCTGTATACATGACGGATAAGTGACCGTAAATCCTCCTTAGTACAACGAGGAGTCTTGTTAATCAAGCCACCCTTTTCTCTTTTCAATCAATGCTTGTCCAATGTCTTGCCTTGCTTAAGCAAGATCAATTCAGTAGGTACACGTAGATGAGGGTACTGATCGTAGAGCCACAGTTTTACATTTCTTTGATACGAAGTCGCAGTATTTCGCGCAAGCTTACCTTTCTTACCGTCAGTTGTGGCGAGATAGAAGCCAAAGCGGTCCATGGTCGCTGCCAACCGCTTGCCAGATGTATCCAAAAGAATACTAGCTTGAACAAAGTCCATGCTAATATTCTCCTCATCTAACATTCGCTTGAAGGCGGCTATTGCGGTGGTGCGAGCCTTCTGGGTATTCGTAGGCACGAACGCAGTTAGACTCGTTATGTGTCGCGTGCTTTTCGAGGTGTGTTTGGCAATTAAAGGGTTGCGTGCTACCTGTAGCCTACTTTACGGTAATGCCTAGTTGTACGAACTGCCAGGATATTTCAAAACAATTTGTTAATCTTGAAAATTGTATCTACATATTCGTATATGACCAGTGATTCCGACAAATATGTCGGAATGTGTCGGAATGCAAACACCGAACCCTACAAATTTATTGCTAATATTCAATCATTAAAGAATGTCATTGGCTAATATTTGCAAATATTTCCCACGGCCATACCATAAAATCTCCGACCCTCCGACAGCTCCGACCGCCAACATAAAAAGACAAATCAGTGTGAAAAACGTAAATTTAAGTGTTGATTGTG